TCATGACTATAGGCCAAAGGGTTTTGGAATTATGGCTAATTAATTATTCATATGTACGAATGGCAATTCTGCTCTGTGTACACGACGTTTATGCGAAAATTCAGTTTTCACGGCGCGTAGCGCCGGAAATTTTTTTCGCTACGCGGCAACCCGTGGTCCGATTTGGTAATGCAATGCATTTGGTATCAAAAGATGCGCAAAGCTCGAGGCTAAAAAGTCATAACAGCTCGGGTCGCGAATTTTTTTTTAGAGGCTATCACGGAAAATGTTGAGGGGGGGGGGGGGGGCGGGCGGATTCCGCCCCCGGCCCCTTTAGGGTTAAGGGCCCCGGGAAATTTTGGATCGTAGATGCTCTGTGGTGCAATCTGAGGCGTTTCCTGGCCACTTTTCCCCTGATTTTTTTAGCAGAAGTTTTTAAAATTGAGGGGATATTTTGTTTCATTTGTTTCAAATACATATAGGCCTATGTATTCTTGCTCTTATAAAGTGTCTTCTGTATTCAAAGCTTAAAGTTGAGAACATGCACATAATTTGTAATTGTTCCGCGCTCGGTCACATAACTCTCTTTTCCCTCCATATTTTTACATGGCAAAGGGGGGTGTTTAACAGCCAAAACACCCCCCTGCGTACGCGCCTGCATACATGTGAAGAGGTACAAGCCTGCTAGACTGATCCTCTGACCTTACAATGCCCACAGTCTATAAAGTGCTCCGTTTCATCTTAAGTGGGGTCAGGGAACCGGACTACAAGAACATGATTGGTTTTCTTGGTTTTTTCAAGCATCTACGAGCCCAAAACGTGAAACAAAGCAGTTTAACAATATTTCCTATAACATTCTAATCCTCCAAATCCATTTATTTCTGAACATTGCAGCAAAAGCAGATGTTGAACATTCCCTTTAATGTTGCGGCAGGCAACATGGCAGATTGCACAACTTCCCAGGATTAAAGGTGAAGCTTAAAGTATGATATAAAACATAGTTGCACACATGTACATGTACATTTTCTGATGAGACAGAAGTCAAACATCTTTTAACTCAATTTAGGGGAAAATTCTAAACGTAAAATACATGTATGTATTTCACTCACACTGTGTTCTATAACCCAAATGAAAACCGAGGATACCATGCGTCTTCGTAGATGTTTCTGTTTTGGACATTTCAACTCTGGATTATGGATTTTTGACAATGGTACTCTCTCTCAAATGACGGGGAACCTGAAGATTAGACGATATTGGCATAATTTTGCCACCATACATCCACTGGTAGATGTGCTCATCTGGTGTGCAGATTCTACCTGCAGTACTCCTTGCCATTTTTGCTGTTTGACCATTGCATGCACGCCACTTGTCCACTGCCTCTGCCGTGGAGTCCACACAGTGACATCTTCATTTCACAGTGCCCTAACACCACAGCGAAAATGTGTCACTGTAGTGCATCAACCTTGGTTTAGCCATGACGTAATCAAAATAAAGTATGATTTTTGTGATATACATTTGTACGTAGGAATGGTCTTTAACCATCTGCTTCGATATCCTCTAGTGATTTTAAGGGATGAGGAATTAGAGGGAGGCATCGGCCCCATCGTGTCTCGGCAACTGCTAAGTGGTTGAGCCCCCCTGCCCAAGGTATGGCTCTACAATCATCTGACACTAAAAGATCTTCCGTGACTGGCCTGGGCTCGTTGGCATTTCCCAGAGCAAGCTTGAATGTGTGAACTACTTTGTCAAGACGAGTCAGCCGTGACCCGCGATATCTGGGCATATTGCAATCCGGTTAATTATTCAGACGGAATTGGGGAAAGTAGGTTTCAGATCCTGCTAGAAATGAGATGACTATAGTCATTACATGTGGAAGCGTCAGGCTATTTCTCAGACCATGTACAGTTGAAAACCACTTTATTTCAGATCATAAATTAACTGAAAAATCAGAGAAAGTTAACTAGTGAGTTTGCATGTTCATTGCTTCAAGCCCAAATATGTCACAGATGATGTGGGAGTAGACAACAAGACTTATCGTGCCCTTTACATGTTCATATTAAGGGAATAAATGTGTGCTCCGGAGGTTTTTATCACTCGTTTAATACCGCTTAGAGTCTGGGTGCTGATAATTACCCGAGCCGGAGGCGAGGGTAATTATCAGCACCCAGACTCTAAGCGGTATTAAACAGAGTGATAAATACCGACCGAGCACATATTTATTCCCATTCATAAATACCTTATCCGTAAAAAATATCAAATAATTCGTTCACAAAAACCCGATTTTGTTCAACAAGTTCACTTCATGCTTTTTGAAACATCCCTCTAGCAAAATAATGGAGTGTTCTGCTGGCGAGTAAGATGTAAACAACCCTTTTATGGAGATTGACGCGCGCGTAACATGTTCTGCGCGATGTCACGCAGAACGCACCTGGGGCGTTGCGTTTTGAATTTAGAACTATAAAATTCTGACTCGCTTGTAGTGTTGCGCATGCCTACGTGAGGATTGTGAACGTTCAACCAATGAAACGGTAAGAGGCACTGGATTTTTAGGAGTCCACATTTTATTGTGACACTGGAAAAGTGTTTAAGACCAGCTAGCCATGTCTTTATCATCCGTTTAAGACCGGCCACGTGACGGGCTCTCGACCAATAGGAATAGCTAAACTGTCTGAGGTATTTATGAATAATGGTTTAAAATTATAGAGCTCATTCTAGCTTGCAGGATTCTGGGGAGAATCAAGGTACATGTACGTGTACGTGTCATTGATGAGCCATTGGTACACTGTAAATCTTTGGTCGCAGGGCAAACTTTCTCAAGGAGTTTTCCATTGATGGGATATCAAGAAAAGAGTACTGCTCAGCGACTTTTTTTTTAGTGAAATCAGCTTTGAGTTAGTGGTCACAATAAGCATGTACATCACATTATGTTGCCATGATTGAAGAAAAACTTGTCTGCCTAGCCGTCCTATTGATCCCATGCAAGCTCAGAATGCTTTTGGTAATCAAATCATGAGGTTAACTAAATTACACTAGTGAGAGGACAGTTCGATTGCTCTGTTCTTCCTGTTGACTTCAGGTGCCAATGCAGTCTGAACATGTTACAAACAAAAGCAAATATTTGGCCACCGGCATTTGTCAGATGTCTTTTCCCAGCGCTATTGTGGTGTTCCTTTCAGTGCTCTACATGAATGAAAATCTATCATGTTTACACGTATTTTCAGTCACCTTTTAATATGAAGTGACCTTGAAGTTCTCCTGCACCTGCTTCCTTGGAGCCTGGTTGAAAAAGATTGCGATAAATTTCGTGATATCAATGCCGTTTTTCAGGAAATTGTTCTGCCAGTTGCGATCACATCAGCAGATTCGCCCATCCGATGTGTGAAGGGTTCGACACCCTGTAGAATGTGCAAACATGTTGGAGCAATAAAACAAGAAGTATGTGTGAAATATTCATGACTCCTTGCAGTTCTGCTTCGTTTTTCACAGAATCAAATTTATTTTGAAAGGTTGATATCCGTCTTGAGATGGGGCTGGGTAAATAAACTCTGAACTTAGAGTTACTTACAATACAGTTTACTCTCTTCCAACAAACTTGTTTATAAAGAAAACAACCTTATGGGGATTCCAACAAAGTAAGCAAGCAAGCTCTATCTCATTTTTTGTCTTTCTTTCTTTTCTTTTTTTTATCTCAGGGCCTTCGAATGTTAATCCATTTTCCCTTGAAGCATTATTTTGATCACTGATCTCCAATTCAAATTTCCAGAGAAAGTAATTATTTCCCAGCAGAGCACTTCATAACAACTACACCCATACATATATTTGGCATTGACAATGGTAACTAGAGACCTGATGTAATAAAATAGACGGATCTATATATTGTATGTCTTTTTGCACAAAAAGGATATTTTCCTATCTACTCAAGTAAAAACAGATTTGAAATGTTTGTGCCCTGAACTGTACATATTGCTCCTGATCAAGTCAATTGGTTAGTGATATTTCAAGAAGCTGATCAACTGAGCGGGAGTAGCATTAACGTCTTGAAGGTAACATTTTGTGCACCATCAGGAGATGTTGAGGGATGCCTGCCTAAATGTGTGGTACATACGAACAATTCCCTTATAGCAGATTAGGTCAAACCCCTCCTTTGCAATAGCCAGTCTGAAATACCGGTGAGTTCCTCTAAATCTGGTGTGCGCGACTGAAGAAAGAAACTTCATAAAAAAAAGGAATTGTTTTGTACTGTCGGGTATATACCCGGCACGTTTTGTTAGAGTGGTACCGCCCCCCCCCCCATGTTCCTATCTCCTATACACACCCTAGACTATTGCTACCTAGAACCCCCCCCCCCATATCTCATAAGAATATCTGAGATTCTGGTAACGCAATGACAAACACTGTCACATATCTTGCTACATATGGTCGAGCAAACCACTCTGAGTGGTTCAAAGTCGCTGCGTCAATAAAGACATGTTTATGTGGTTTGCTAAGCCGAAACTCTTACAAAGGATTACTTTTTCTCCAAGCGCCAGTTGTGAAGGTCTCTTCTGGTAAATTTTCATTTTAGGTGGATTTCTTGTCTCATCTCGACCATAGATATTTCCGGTATTTGTTTGTCTCAAAAGCCTCAACTATTAAGAGGATTTTGTAGTCTTTCAGTCTGTAAATGTAGTTGTGTTTCCTTCTTGGATTTGCAGCCATTACCTCGGTTAGTGCCCCAGGGTTTGTTGATGTATGATGTTGTTCTGTTAAGAGTTGCACATTGTGGCAGCATGTTTGTTATGCTGTGTACCATTTGTTCCATTCCTCCTATCGGCCGATTCTGTTTTCTTATGCGTCTGGGTGGATACAATTGCAGAAGTGAGTGAGCCATAGTTTTGATCAAGCCAATAGTTGGAGTAACAAGAAGTTGCTCTTCTCCCTCCTCTTCTTTCCTCATTACCCCCCCCCCCCCCCTCAATTTCTTTTTTTCTACAGTGGGTTTTAAAGTCTGACTTTAGTTTCACGGGATCGTTTCTCCACAGGATATCGATGAGGTCACGGTGAACTACCCCTCCATGCTGGAGCTGATGCAGGATCTGAAGGGCATGGGAGAAAGCAATGCATCATGGTCCCGGAAGAGCGTGCTGCACCGCGGCACGCAAACAGCAGCTGCTGCCATCTACAAAGGTGACGGAAATATTACCTCCCTAGAGCAAAGGCCAATACGTTAAATTTTTCATAAGCTGGGAGGGGAGGGGAGGGGGGGGGGTGTACCTACTCGGTGCCGTTCGTTTGGCATTCTGGGATAGACCGGGATAGGGGATGTCAGTCTTTCAACTTGGGAGCACGGCGTCAGCGGACCGTGTTTCCTTTTTGAAATCTCAGCAGTTTCACGGTGATGACAATGGGCACTTAGCATGACGTTGGCAGATTACGTTGGGGTGTTCTACTAGTGCTGCACTAAAAGCTGTCATGAATATTCAGTCTTCTGAGAAATGCCATCACCCGTGTGCTTTCATTTCAAATTTGGGTATGAGGTGTCGGTTGAAGCCTCACCTGTTCTCATATCAAAACAAAATTGGGGGGAAATTTGACTTAGCTGCTTTGTTCAAGAAAAGGTTATTGAACCTCCTCTGCCTATTAGTGCAAATGCATGGAAAGCCTTTTTGCCATTTGGGGAATAATTTTTCCAGTGAAGACCACTAAGGTTTAAAAGCAGGATGTAATTTGTGCAGAGCAAGAGCACAGTGCACTCGTGAGATTTACAAAAAAAATTGATTTCAGAATTGAAGATTGAATTACAGATTTCCAGACTAGCAGTAGTACTGTAAATGTGATTTGTTTGTTTGTTTGTTTGTTTTTAGGGTTTTTTGATCTGGTTATTTTTTTAACACTGTAGAGACCCTGGGATTGATAAGGAGCATGTTACTTTAACAATAGACTTTAGTCAGGTTCAACCTCCACATAAAAAATATAAGATAAAAAGTTTTCCGTTTTTAACTTTAGTATCTTTCAACTGGCTATACTACATGTATATACCACCATGTGTCAATTCACCATTTATGAGTATTTTTCCTGCGTGCTTTTATCTTTTCCAAGCAAGCAATGCCTATCTATACCAAAAACCCACTCTTGTTGTAAGAAATGCATTTCAACTTTTAACCAGCAAAGTTCTCAATTATCATTCTAAACTTGGCATGATAAGCGATCAGTTCCAGGTAAAATTCCACTTCGAATCAGTTGTTTGAAAAAAAAAGCATAGTGATAAGTACAAGTGCCACTCGGCTGTGTAGTAATACTGGAACCACTCCCCGACGAGCTGAATTAAGTTCCCCGGTTACCGACAAGGGCTTGATTTAAAGCTGGCTGGCCCAACACTTTACCCACCCATCCTCACCAATTTCTCCGCATCATGCTCTTCGTTTCGTTGATGACGCGACCAGATAGCTGCCTGCTTCGTAATTTTCAGAAAGGGAACAAACAACCAGCCATTTATTTCCTTTATAAATTGCCCGTCCAATTTGACAGTATGCGGATGGAGGTTTGTGAGAAGCTATTAGTAGTAACCAGGAAGAGAGGTATGCGTTTTACTATTTGTATCTGGATTCCGTCCTGCCCCCCCCCCCCCCCCCCCCCTCCCCCCCCCCTTTCCCCTCCCTCCTGTAATCTTGATGGCTGGCGGAAGCTGAGCATTTTGTCCGGGGCTAGACAAGCCGTCCCTTCCGTTTGGACATTTGGACCCTTGTCTCTATCTCGGCTACCTTTTTTTATCATTTATTCCCCCTGATTTTGACACGTTGCAGGCACTTGCAGGATCCACTCGAGTGTCTGATCTGATGTAATTGCTTTGCCTAACACAATTTGGGGTCCATTTGTCTTGTGTCTCACTAGCTACCACCCCCACCCTGCTGACACCGTGCCAGCGATACTTGTTTTAATGCATATCTCGACACCTTTTCCTTATAAGCATGGAGACAATTTCCCATCTTCACTGTACAGATACCACCATTTTCTTTTTGTGATGATGATAAATGGCCAACAGAACAAGATTAATTGAAGTCTCAGGAAATAGCCTCAGAGTAGAAGTACAGGTACCTGATGCATGCCTATAGCAAGTTGATTTTGAAAGTCATTTCCTTTAATTGGGAACCATTTTTTTCACTGTGGTTTGTCAATTGCTGTGGAGGTGCTTATAGGTGTACATGTAATTGTTCAATGGGGGATAATTACATCACATACAAGTGATCTTCCAGAAACCGTCGAGCCTACAGTGAGGCTACTAGCTGACGATTGTACCATGTACGGAAGGATCGCCGTCGGCAGGAGACCCAGTCATTTTACACACAAGAAAAAACATTGACTCACTTCGTGTCTGGCAAAATTGATGGCCGATGAAATTTAATAAGCACGAAGTGCTCTGTTATGCACATTATCCACAGAAAAAAAGACCACTCGTGAGTGAATGCAATGTTACGGGTGATTTTCAACTTCAAACGGTGGATAATCATACCAACCTGGGGTCACTTTAAACTGTAAGCTCAACTGGAACAACCATGCACATTGTCAAAACTGTCACCAAAGCCAACAAAACCCGAGGTCTTCTTAGACACCATTTTTATCATTGCAAAGAAGGAGTAAACGCTACGGCATACAAAACTCTGGTGCGGCCACAGTAGTAGTATTTTTCAACCATCTGGGATCCTCATCACCAAATTAAGATTGCTTTGGAAGCTGTTCAAAATCGGGCTGCCAGATTTGTGAAAAAGAGATTTCAGTCAAAATAGCAGCATTTCTTCAACGGTTCGAGGCCTTACATGGAAATGACTCGAAGAGAGAAGGCTTAGTGCCCGATTGATCATCATGTACAAAGCTCACATCAGCTTGCCTCCATCAGTGTAAACAAGTTCTCCGTCATTACCAGCCAAAGATTCCATAGAAAAAAAATCAGGCCTGTTATTTGAAATTCCCTCGTCCTCAAACAAAATAAGGATTGCTACAAGTGTCCCTTCTTGCCAAGAACTGTAGCCCAATGGAACGCACAACTGGCAGATATTAGGGACTCAGCAAGTTTAATTGTCTTCAAATCTAAAATCAACAATAATCTTCTCGCACTCACAAGGGGGGGGGGGGGTTCTTAATTAATATGCTACTAATAGTACCGCGTCTGTGCTCTGTGGTGGATATCTAAGGATTTTGCACAGTATTCTACGGATGCAAATCTGAGTACAGTCCGTTAACTTAAAATTGGCAAAGGAAAGTGTTGGAAATGTCTTCAGATGCAATTTTGAAATGAGCTGACGGGGCAGTCTTCATGAAATCAGTATCCATGTACATGTAGTCCATTTTCCCCTTTCGCATTTATAACTGCAGAGAATAAGAGTACCTTAACCCTAACTCCATAGCATGATTTACTAGGAACCATACCCATCCTGGCAAATTCCAACACCATATGGAAACTGTGCAAACATATTTCTGACTTAGTTTCTGGAGGTGTGCCAAACCAATGTAAAAGACTGTCAGTTTAGGGCTACTGCACCCATCCAGACAGATTCCAACAATACATACCGTTGGGGTTTGATGGGTTGAGTTCTGTTAGGGTTAAAATAACGGCTGTAGAGCAAAATTATTGCCTTGTCATTGTTTAAGTGGATTATAGTTCAAATTAGCATTCATTAATTTTGTTGGCGTGGTACATGTAATTGTTATTTCAAACAAAGTCACACAACACACATTGAAATAACATTTTCCGTATGAAAGGTCTGCATGTATAGAAAATGTGAACATCTCCCATGTAATATAAAGTTGGAAAATGATTGAAACCAATGGTAACCCAAAGTGCATCCTACTCTTCATTCAAGGCTGATAGCCTTGCAGTATCGCCACAAAAGTAAGCGTCATATCAAAGAACCTTGTATACGGGAAAACAAATCATCCTTAAAAGATGTCCTTGGCTTGGAAATAAGTCTGCTGCTGGCAATGAGGTAAAGGCAAATATTGGCTCATAAAATCCTGCAGTAATTACTCCAAGGTCAGGTTTGATGTGTCTACATGACAATATCATACCTTTTAAAGATGCAAAAATTGCCTTTTCTCATGTATGCGGTGTTTGTTGGACCTGCAGTCTGATTATATTTCTCACTGTATGTTTGTTGATTCTTCTCAAGAATTTTCCCACCAAAATACGAAAAGGGATCCCTAAATGTAACTGTTAAAGTCAACATATATCCTATTTCACTGTTTTTAGCAAGAAACCAGTCATTATCAATAAACCAGCCACTTTTATCGGTATTTCACTTCTATTAAGCTCTTTCAATTTCTGCATGCATTGTAAAAAATATATATATATAAGATAAGAATACTTCACTAATATTGCATCTTAGAAAGTATTCTGGTCAATTTTATTTGGCCAAGAAAAGAATTACATGTTTTTACATATGGTACCGGTATTGTTTCTCTTGTTGTGAAGTACGAACATATACCTTTTTCTGTAATGACATCAGAATCATCAGTGGTAATATTTTGTTTGCCAGTTTCTGGCTAGAGGCCAGTGTCCTCGATTGTATTGTATAACTGGCTTTATCCAACCTGAACCCTAGAGACATTACAAAAGTCAACTTGATAGCTCATGCATTTGCGAAACACAAACTGCCGCTGGTGCTATTTCTTTGAGCGACAGACATTCGCATTGTCTAAGCCAGACGGCTCGGTAATTGTTGCTAAATATAGCGTAGAAATGTTGATGCTAATGAAACATTCAGCCGCCGTTTTTTAAAACCTATTTTACAATACAATACCAGCATCTGGGAAGGACTGTAATTGAAAGAATGCCATCTGTCTAATTTATAAATAACTGCAAGTATTTTGCTCGTTAAGTTTCATTTTCTATATTTCTTTTTTTAGACATGTACGGCAATGAGGATGGCTCAGTGCCAGCAACATTTCAAATACTCTACATGATCGGTTGGAAACCAGACGCATCGCAGGTAGGCCTACGTGTCTTTGTTTCACATGCCTCAATGATTTATGGGAGGGGGAACATCTGGATAGTAGAAACTAACTATCCCCGTGTTAGCCTCACTGTCTCATTTCAAAGCTATAAATAAACCTGGACTTCAGTTGGGACACTTTAAGTCACCACGAACTAATCTATTGATTGCCTTATGTGGGACAAAATGGCTAAAATTTGCACAAGGGTTGTTGACTTACAGTGAATTGGCACGAAATAATGTGTCCATTTCAGAATTTCATCCCATTATTATGACTGCACACCTTCTTTTTTGGTGGGTGGGGGGGGGGGGTGGATTGTAAAGAACAAGCGTTTTGGAAGCTCTGCAAAACTTCATTTGCTGGGTCTTAGCGATAGATGATAAGTGTCTGTTTCCTGTCAACCCTCTCAACTGCAGTGGGATACACACCTATGCTCCGATACACCTATGCTCCGACACACCTGTGTGTTCCGACACACTTGGCTTTGACACACCAAGGTTCCGACACACCTACGTTCCGAATCCGACACACCTACTTTCCGACACACCTATAGGTTCCGACTGCTCATATTCCTATCCCTATCCATTACCCTAACCCTAACCGGGAGTAACACAATTTTATGTGCAGGTTGTCGGAACATAGGGGTGTCGGAACATGTCGGAACATAGAGCAGTCACCCTGCAGTGAGCTATTCTTGAGACCTCTCTTCTTTGATGTCATACATATCCCTGTTTGGGGTGGGCTTCTTCAAACCCATCAACCAACACTATATTATCTTTTTAAATGCAGAAGTTTTCCTCGTACAAGAGTTGAGTCTCCTCTCCTTTAAAAGTCTTTCATTTTCTTCTCTTAAAATCAACTGGCTCGTGGTATAATTTTTCATAACATTCATAATGCAGTTATAGATGTGGTGCTTCATAACGCTACTCAATGAAATACTAAACCTACCCACCCACTACAATCACCACCTGCATTCATTTGAATTTACATAAAGAATGTTTAGCTCAGCACAGAGTTAATTATACAGTCATACCTTTCTCCGCCACCTTTTAAATGGCAAGCTGTTTTCGGCGTCATTAAAAATGCATGGAAATGATATTGACTTTAGAAACCTGGGGAATATCTAGTGTGTTCATGAAGTAAATTGCAAGGTAAATATTGACGAGAGATGCGCATCCCCACGCCCACTAATAGAACCTCATTGTGTCAATATCGTGTTAATAGGTTTCTGCACGGGCAACTGAGCATTCATTGGGGGCCCCAGTTAATCTCTTGATTGGGTTTGCTCAATTCATATATCGGATATACCCTTGTTATACTATCGGCACATTACAGTATGCCCCTTGTAATCCGTAATGGTAATGGACCAAACCGTTTTACGTAGAGGGGATGATTGCATTTTTTTTTGGACACCAATTTCCAGTGCTGTTACCTAAACCTTCAAATCATTTAAGAGTCCCATTAAAATGTATATGTTGCCTGCATGGTAAAGCGGAACCCCAATAGGCGGTCGGACAACCAGAGTGAATGAATCGAGTTGGCGGGGTTGGGGAATAATTACGCGCGAAAAGAACTGCGAGCTACTGGCAACACTATTGGATCTTTAATCGAGTGTGCTCTAACCTATACATACTCTTTGTGGACCTGTGAACAAAAGAGTCCACAGGATGCAGGAAGCGTGAACGCTTTGTGGACCAGCACGCGTCCACACTAGGTTCCCCCTTTCTGGATAGCAGGTTTAGAGACATTTTTGGGTTGGGTTATAAGTTGCAAAATGAAAAAGAACACTCAAGGAAACCATGATAACAAAACTAAGTTAAAAGAGTTTTCATAGTGCATAAAACGAGTAGTTTTCTCCGTTTTTTTTTAACAACACAAATACAAAGGAACATCCACAGTAGGTATGGAAGGTAAGGCTGTGCAGTTGCCAAAGGTGTTTCGCTGGAATCTCTTCGCGGGATCGGGAGAGTGAGACTCGGTACACACTCGTTAGCGAAAGCTAATGAAGCTCTCGTCTGACCTTTTCATCCCTCTGAACAAGATTTTTTTTAATCTGTGTTTATTTTGATTCGAGATGAAGCTTTCAGGCAGTGCCTTTGTTTTCTCGCGCGGCCTTTGCGCTGCAGTCGCTCCTCGCGTGTGTGCACCCTAATTGCAAACTTGTTTTGAAATACTCACCTATGCAAAATCAACAACAGCCAATAGGATGAAAGCAAACGAAGAGAGATAAAAAAAAAACAACCTAGAACTCGCTAATGAATTGCCCTCATTAAGTATTCATTTGTCAGTGGCGGAATGCGACCGCCTAATTTGGGTTAACACCTTGAATTACGGGGTTCATTAGGAGCCGCTAACGAGATGTGGATGACCATGATCGGCTCGACCAAGGCTATGCCGGCAGAGACGCGTAAATAAATTCAGGGACGCTTGATGATGAGTTAATTAAAACAAATTAAAGAATCTTTAAATTGTCAAAATGCTATTTTGATTTTGTTTGACATAGCCTTGCAATGGCATCCGCTTTGATAGCATTCATTGCCTTGAGTCCTGGTTCTCTTTGAGTGACAGATTTTAACCCCTTTCCTGAAATCATTTGAAAGAGGCTAACTGTTTTATTTACCCTCAAATGCACTTTTTTTCAGCTATTCTGTAAACCTTGGTACTGCAAAGTACTGAGGAATCTCAAAAATCATTAAAACTAAATAAAAAGGTAACAGTAGTCTTCCAACAAAACAGTAGGTTTTGGATACAAAGTTTCATAACTGAAGTAAAAACGAAGTTTAAAGTGATTCTGTTGTGAACTTGAAACAAGGGCAACAGTTTATTTACTTACACATATCTGCAATAGACTTGTATAGGTATACCAAGGCAGAGACAGAGGGTAAAAGTTTGGTATGGCTTGGATATGCATGAGTGAACCTTTTGTGCATTCATTGTGACTACTTTAACAAAGAAAGAACAACCTTGGGATACCTGCAATGCATCTATTTCTTCAGTCTCCTAAAGACGAACAGAATGCACAGTTCCAAACGTAGAGACCTGCTTTCTTCCGAGCCAACACTTCCTCACAAAAGATATTTTGTCCATGGCGTACCCGCAAACCTACTTCCCTACTTACTATAACTCCACCATGCATGACAAGCCTCAAACAACACTTGTCTATTCCTTTAGTTTTCCCCAACCTCACTCATTACTATTGTTTGAGCTAATGGCTTATCAGACGACCAGACCATTTGTGAGTTGGCACCATCCTCGCGGACCAGACTGGTGGTACGTGTAAGTGCGCGACCAAAGATTTTAACATTACACGCGCGCCTCAAATTAAGAACGCGTGCTTTATCCGTGTGAGCTTGGGGCCTCCTCAGTAATGGCGATCTTCAGATTAGTTTATAATAACCTCAGGATTTTTTTCTCTGTTTTTTTCTCCTTTTTGCCATCTCAGCCGAAACCAGCGAAACGAGGCTCAGCAACAGTATCCCTCAAAGATTTGGACAAAGTGCCGAAAAGTAGCACGTGATGACGAATCATCGTGCACCCAATACATATGAGAAGTGCCGTCTGAAGTGCCGACGTTTTTACACTGGCATCCGATAAGATTCCCTCCCCTATTTGGTCAATCTATTCATCAAAAACTGACAAAAGTCGGCAGGTCTTAAACTGTGGGACGATGGAACGCAGGACACTCACTTAGCGCACCCATAAGAAAAAAACAAAAACCCACCTCCCGAAAGAGGTTTTGTGGCTACAAGTAGGTCAGTACACATGATGTGATGTACATGTACATGTGCACCACCAATCAAAGCCAGCGGATAAATCTGGTCGCGGTCTGTGTACCAGTTATTAGGCGAAACTGATAATGATATTGATAATGACCGAAAGTCTTTGAGCTACTTAGTACAAAACAAATATTGCCTTGCTAATGTGTGTGCTACACAACAATCAAGAGCTCACCAGTCGGAACCTTCATGCATCACCTGACGTATTGTTAGGTAACCTTTCTTTTTGCAAACAAATAATGTTTGTGCTTTACACATTTATATGCTGAACAGCACCATTTCACAGGCGCTGGGTTAATTAAAGTGTATACCTCTTCCTGCAAACGGAGCTATAATCTTGAATGTATATTGAAGGATGAACATTTCTTTAAACAATGTGCCTTATGCACCTTATGCACGAGTCGGCCATATTCAATTGAAAGCCATGTAAAATCTCAATTTTTGGAACTTGTGAAGACAAATGAAAGCAAGTTAATTACTAATTAATTCCAGTCTGCTTCCATAAAACGATTCAAAGTTTGTAATGAAACATCCCCTAATGTTTAAAGGTAGATTTTAAAAAATGGCAGTAAAATAAGGCTGCATTATACCTGCTTTAATATTCTGGCGCCATCCCATTCAACAGTTAACAATTAATGAAATACATTCAGGGAACTCGACAAAAATGGCTAACTCGTGCATAAGGCCCATGGTCGTGCCAGCTAACAGTGCTCATCCGAACTGGCTTTTGGTTCTGAGTCAGTGGCTATGATATCAGAAAGAGACTGTGGGTTTTGCATTTCATTTTTTATTTAAGAAACATTATCGTGTTATGCCGTGCAAAATGCATCGAATGTACCACTGTCGCTCTTGATTCAAAGCGGGTATGTTCAATTAATAAAGTACCCAGTATCGTATATAAACACGTTGTAATATGACTAATATAGTCAGTTTTGTTACGACTTCTAAAGAATTGTTATACATACATGTAGCTTACGTGATGTGCAAGATTATTTTTAAGAAATACAGGACCTATGCGAGAAAAAGCCAAGGAGACATACTAAATTGTGATCACGGTTGTAGTCACTCACTAAAAAGTTAACTACCTTTCGAGATTTTCCTCTAACATTATAGATGTACAAGTTGATTTTTTGAACCATAAAATGGATATAGATGTGCTTCCGATTACAAAAAAAACCCAAATAAGTTTAAATGGTAAAGTACGATGCCTCTATCCACTTTGCTTTAACCAAAGATAGTACCGATAACCTTTCTATGGAGTGTGTTATCTCAGAACCTTGCGCCCTTTTCCCCCTACCCATTCGGCAATCACGTAACCCAGGCTTTCATCAACGTCTTTCTATGGCCTATATAACCTTGAACGTGCAATCCTCGCAATGGACATGCATGACTTACGGATCCCTGGCGCAGCTTCCTATATGTAAACTATTAAGAAATTGACACGGACCGTTGAGTGTGGCGCCGCATGTTAATGGGTGCGGTTGAAGATGGCTGCTCGTTTTCAAGGTTGGTTGTTGAATGTTTTATGAACTCCTACGTCCATTTTTAGAGCTTTAATTTAGTAAAATCGGGAATTGGAAACTGCTGAACCGTGGATATTTTGACTCGACTGCAGTCTTAATGAGCCTGTTAAAATGCAGGGAATTAGGCCTATAGAGGAGGTAGTGGCAGAACGGGGGTACAATGTGCGGGGGGGGGACTACTTTGGGAATTTCTTCTTTCTCTCCGAATAAAATAAGAGAACAAGGGGGAAAGGACCAGGGGACAAGTACATGTACCGCGAGTGGGGGGCTTACCCCGCGCCACCCCACCATCTCAGCTACGCCACTGACAGGAAAAAATTACGCATAGGCCTATGGGTTTCTTGGCAGAACGGGCGTACGAAGAAACAGTTGTCGTGAGGAGACGAGTTTCCAATCGGGGTCACGCAAGTGGAAGAATAAGAAACCGGCAAACAAATGAGAAAAGGAAGAAAGGAAGATTGCCATGCACTTTTCCAAGGGTGCATGAATGTTATGACTTAACTTTGCATAGATGAAATACTTATAGCTGTACTATTATGAAGTCCGGTTTTTTTTTCATAGGATCTGCAAAATAACGAACAAAGAAAACCTCAATAGCCTTGTTTTTCAAACAGCACATTTACAGTCACACTTGTAACGTCCTTATAAGCTTGGGTGAATTGCTTATGGCAGTGTGTGTTTTGAGGGCATAACAAACACTCCCTCAACCAAACCAAATATTGTTATTATAAAGTGGGAAATATTGGAAACGTTTTGAGCAGTTGTGTTGACGGCACATTGTTGATAGTACACCATGTGCTTATGTTATCGGCGTCCCCCTGTCTGTATATTTTTTTCTTCACCCTATAGTTTTACTAGTTGAAACGTGAGGTGGTGATGGTACATGACACCTTACTTTAGTTTGACCATTGCCATCTTAACACCATACCTTACTCGTGCGCCAAGTCCTTCAATTTATACATTATTACAGTGTTAATTTACTATATAGAACTCCAGAAGAGACAATTTGTTAACTTTGGTCCAGTTTATTTTGATTTTTCGCATAATGAAAATCCTCTTACACGGTAACGCTCGACAGCTTCGTGACTTCTAGATAATATGACTCATGAGTTTTGTAAGGAGGATGTTGAGGTTTGTGGATGACTTTCGCTTTCAATTTTACATGAAGGCTTACCATGTTGGTTCAGTACACGATACAACAATATTTATACTGAATTTACATTCACAAGATGTGGAAACATTACACTGCCTTCACATGTACAGAACACCCTGCGATATTGTGCTGAGTTTCAATCACATCTTCCTCATGTTCAGTTGGTCATCATTTTTCTTTTCTTTTTCCCAAATCACAAACTCAGTCAAAACTTTCTGTGACTGAAGTTATCAGGCATGCCCTGTGCGCAATTTGCAACAATAAATAAGAAAAAGGAAAAAGAAATGATTTTCGATCACCGTAAATACGACGTGATTTTAATGCAAGACACCTCTGACATACGTTTGGATGCGGAGACAAATCCGGTTCTTATAGTTGACTTTATCATAACGTAATCGTAAAACGGTAGTACGAGGTTTCCATCAACTGTTTCGCGCAAATATTTGCTTTCACCCGAGTTGTCTGTAAATGAAGGAATACTGGTTGGCGGAAGTGGTCGAGCACATGTGACTTTACAGTGCGCCTGCTCTCTAAAATACAGTGTGACCGTCTCAATTTGAACGATGGTCGAACGTCTTCACTGAACTTCTTCGGTCCTGGTACCCTGATGTACATGCGTGGTCATAGGTAACCAGCGATCCGATACTAAGCTAGTCCTGATTAGTCTACCCTACGCTCCAACCATTATTCTCTTGCGTGCGTTCGATGAAGGTTTAACAGCTTTGCCAAACAATGGCCAACCAGAGTTTTCGATCGAACTGACTACTCTTTCTGAATATGTGATTTGAGGCTTCTTATATTATCTGTGATTTCAAAATAAAATTATGGGATACAAAACGTTAATGACATTAAGTCGCTGTCATCACTTGTGTTCATTGTGTTGCAGCCGTTTTATACTTACGACTCAACTCGACGTTCAAAAGTGCTTGCTAAAGACTGTTACAAGCCATGCCCGAATGTTTATGTCACAAATCTAGCCTTTGAAGGACGGCAAATGAAAAAACAAACCTTTTATGGCCACAAATGGAGGGTTTTTTGCCGAACATGAGCTGAAAGTAATTAGAGTTGATCCTAGAATGCATGCCGGGCTTGCTTTAATGTCAGTGTTAATATTAATGTTTTTGTATATACACGCTGAAAGTCACGAAGAATTTTAGTCAAGGACTTATTCTTTCTGAAAAAAAAACGTAAAGGAAAGGAAGAACGTGACTTTTGCTGGCGTTCGATAATATGCAGAGGTTGGTGTACTTTGTACCAAAAAAAAGAGAGTCCCGGCGTCTTTGGTTATTTTGTAAGTTGTTACCTGATCTTCTCTGATTTAATTTTGTCCCGAATGCCAGAACTTCGGAAGTGTCTTTTCGGCCTTGTTCAGATCGGCATGTTGTCGAGATTAAAACTATTCCTGAGATGGTTCAGTCCAGAATCCCTGGAAGACCTTTGAGAGTAGCGTGTGAATGCTCGGTAATTCTAACTTCAGCGGGATAATAGAAACGGTTTTTGCCTCGGTGCTCGTATTTCAAGGACTTGAAAGAAGTTTATTGTCACCAATTCCACCTTTTGCGTGTTATCGTGCATTGTAAATTCTGCGTACATGTTTTAGAACCGTTAGTGTGCCTAGGGGAGTTATTGTTCAAATGGTGTCCAGTGTTAAGAAAACACTTGCTCCAGGACAGGTAGATTAAAGCCGACTTTTGTCGTGTTGGTAAGTACCCGCAACAAGTAACTGAAGATGGCGTGTATATCTGACGGTACGGTATATGGATGCGCCAATAGCGAGTACGTTGACCCTGTCAAGAAAGCCTTACACAGACCAGCCTTGGATGCGAGTTACGTCCATCATTTCTACAAGCAGAGAAGATGGCTTCTAAGTACGTCAAGAACTGAACTCATCTCCACTTTAATTTCTCGGTGTGTTGGAGGTATAGTTTTACCAAAGGCGATATTGTTTTTATTGAGTAACAAAACACCGACGGAAGCACCTTCTCAATATCATTAATGCATTTTCCCAGATCCGTGATACGGGTGGCTTTGATGTCTTGGCAGGTATGACATCAAACGATATGCTTGCAAAATCGCTGTGAGAGTCACTTGATATTTTTCGTAGCCCGCGAAAAAAGTCTTGGAGCGGTAGAACATATTTTGGGCCCGTCTTCAGATATCGAATAACGACGCCTATTGGCTTGAATTGACTTTTTTTGGTTTGTTGAAAGTGACTTTAACTAGGAAGATTCCTTTCCCCCAGTTTTCTGCCTCCTTTGATATCCAAATAGTAATACATTTCCCGTCACAGCGATGCAACTGTGACTCTTCTTACATCAAAACAAGCTTATATATCATGTTCTGTTTGTAAGTGCGACTATACGTTATACTATTTCGAACCATTTTTATATGGCCAGTTACACGCAAGATTTCACACAACGGTGACTGTACAAGACAGTGAATTTTTGCTTCACGTCTGCCTTTGCGTAAAGTACGGACCGAACCATAGGGCTCATCCAATATAGGGCGTCTGGTTTGATTTTGTAACTTTGTCCATTTTGGTTTGTAGATAGGCCTATCGGTTCCATTACACTTTGTTGACCGCGGGACATTAATGCTCACTGTGCTGTGGGTTAAACAATTGAGAATATCGCAAGTATTCCCTTTTTCCCTTGTGAGGTTCTTACGATCTTTATTATTTTTTATAATCCTTTTCCCATTATTAAGAGAGAAGCTTTTCCGTAAGGTTTGTACTGATGCGCAGTCGCTGCAATGCCTCTTTTGGATGCAAACGGCGTGTAACAGCTTGTAAATTTAAAGTAGCTTTGAGAGTGACTCGTCGATCGTCCTAGATCACTTAATTGGACTAAGTGATTAACTCGACGATAAAAGGCCAATTTGTGCAAGAGATTTTGGTCGATTTGTGGTATGCAAGTCGTATGGTATGATCAACGCAAGTCCTTTGGGCGTTATTTCTGTCTTATGGATAATGGGACGTTAAAGCCAAGTCGGATTTCCGGGCGTGTTGGCCCATTAGGGCCGAAATCAGATGTCAGCACATGACTGAATCAGTTCTTTGAAAACAGACATCATTTGGGCACGTCATGCAATGCATTTAGCTCTGTTCGAGGACATCAGGTGCAAGACGTTTAGGATTCATATCAGGAATTCAGAAAGCACAATATCTGACGGACGATCGGCGCTCCGAGTGAAACGAGCATCGGTGAGATAAACGCGTAAAAGCCAAACTTTTAGAAACCGTTACCGGCTTTACAGTGAAACGACAGCTATTATCGGCTTGTGATCTAACTAAAAAGCATCGTTCAAGGTTGAGGTATTAACAGCGTTTTTTTAACCACAGGTAGTTTGTCCGACTCCACATCGATAAACCCACCCGTCATTTTTCACTCTCGGCCCATCCTCCTTCCGTTTATTATCTGATGAAATGTTCGCAGTAACGACTGCTGGTGGGCACATATAAACGTCCACATCGATGCTTATCCCAGTAGGTGGTGTGCAAACGGTTGCAGATGGGTTGGTTTAATAGCAGAGGAGTTTAATGATTCCAGAACGATTGTTGCCGTTTGCTGTCGGGACTGTCCAGTCTGTGATTACACGCAGTCTTCTGGTAGTTATATCATCGCGAACACAGCTTTACTTGAACTCTGGCGCTCCGTGAGGTGCGTGTTCGATGTGAAGGTAAGTCCACATCATTTGCATTTTGATGAGTTCTTGTGCCGGGAAGCTTCATTAGATATACTGTGAAAACAACATCCCTTTGAATCTAAAATACCATCTGAAGCCTATAATCTACTGTCATACACTGAAGAAGTATAGGAATGTGACTTGGGAGTCTGTACATTAAGTTAAAATAATGGATTTGGCATTGATAGTTTTAAAGCAATTTTTTGGCCGAAAATGAAATATATTTTTACTTTTATTACAATTTTTCTTTTGGACCTGTATTTACTTGTGATATCTAGCTAGTCCTTCCGTATTTTTTTTTCACCATATTGCAGCACATTTTCAAATGAATTGACACCTTGTTCTCCATCATTACTTGCAATTACTAGTACGTTTAGCTTGTATCGCAGTAATATTTAAGAGTCGCATTGTGCTATTAATTAATTATCAGTGTAACTGAAATGATATCGATCCCTTACCAATGTAGTGGATGACCTAACTCCACGTTGTAATGTTTAGCCCCTTCCAGAACTGTGCCCGAGGGTTATACATGTTGTAATAGTAAACAACGTTCAAGCGATATCGTTATATTCTTCATTCAGTTTAGATATTGCTGTAGTGTAAAAGGATACGAGACATTTACATAAGGCAACACACACACTGCAGTTTGCGCGCAATACTGTTTTACAACCCTCTGTGTTTGGTTTTGTCAGAACAAATTGTACTGTTTGCGAATAAGCGGGGAATAAACACGATAACAGTGTGGCCTGGAATAGATGCGACGAGCTGATCAGGTGAAATGGTAAACACACACACATCTCGCTATAAATGGAGGCAAACGACGTTTGATTTCTCGCGCCAAAATTAAATATTGTTCGACACCGCCGCCGATTGAATGTTTGGATTGGATATTTGCCTTCAGATTGGAACGAAGTCGCGTGTTTGCTCGATTCGCCGAATGTAATCACAAAGCTTTAACAACATTTTATGTTATGATTCAGATAATGGCTCATTCCGTGACTAACATGATATAGTTTCTGCAGTGTGCACTTAGAGCCAGGTCCGCTTTATTTACATGATATTGGGACAGCACCTTTCTTATTACATGTACAATGTTCTATGAGTATCCAGGCATTTCTTTCATGGTGCACAATCTTTATATCAATCCAAAAAAAAAATCGGGCCTGGACGCGAACTTAACCATTTCTTTTTCATTAACATGGAAATAACAACAAACAACATACAAATGTATAAGATAAATACAATATTATCACGAAACCAAACGAAGTGTTGTCCACAAAATCTCGTTCAGTATTGCGGTCTATCGTTTGGTGTACATAACTGCCAAAATATGTTTTGCATAGCGGTCTGTTTGGTAGGCCTATAGCATCGTTCGTTTTAATGGTGTTCCACTCAGAAATGTTTGCAGTTTGTGGCGATGGGCATTATATCACTCAAAGGTTTGCAATTCAAATAAAAAACGGTGTCGGGATTAACGAATTGCGAATACTGAAAACAGAAATATTTTATGTGGCTTTTGGTCGAGATGAAGCTGGGATTTGTTTGAAAATTGGTCTGTTGGCGGCTTAGGTAGTTCATCGACGTGGCTTGCTATCTACTGTAACAGAGAAGATTTATCTATCACTCTCCCGTGAACGCATCAACGTTCTCATCTGATGCATTTCTGGATGTAGTTTACCCAAACAAATCCGAGCGGTTTTTTTTTTCGCCAGCAAAGATCGTAAAACCTGCAGTGACGAGTCTTGAGTCGGATCGCGTTAACAGAATGATAATAGAAATGAAAATCAGACGGTGTCCAATTCCTTAATGGTTATTCCTCCGTGTGTCTGGTTTCATTTCCAGCACTCCCCGGGCAGGAATAATTTAAGCTAACCAGATTAACACGGTGACGACTTGGGAGGAATCGGGTAAAGTGTATAGCTCTCTCCGAGACAGAAAAAAAATGAGAGGAATATCTCAATGTTTATGCGGACGGTGTGGTGGCTAGTTTTGTAAGCTTTGAGTTAGTCCACTCTAGAGACAGCAGCACTACAGTAGTGTTTTGCTTCAACCAGGAGCCGGCTCGATGTAGGCATAGCCTCTACAGTTTTACGTGAAACAAGATCTACTGTTGATCTTGGTCCCCGACTCGCTGCCCGTAGGATACGGTCGACGCAAAAGGCGC